TATTATTCCTTTTGAGAAATTCGTCTGAAGAGTCTCCATTATGGATCAGGAGGGACAAGCACAAATGTCAGCAGGAAGAAAGAAAAGGGCAGAGAGAAAAGATTAAAGCAAAACAGAAGAAAACCAAGAGCTCAAGTGTGACAGCTGGGACAGTAAGGAGTGGTGGAGCGGTGACTAACCGGGGAGTACTTAGAGGTGACAGTTACATGATTCCGTTTCAGCTGATGGCTACTATGTAAGAGTGCATGCTTGAGCTTTCCAGATATTTTGATCTTTGAGGAAGAGCAGACTGTGTGAAAAGATTTTTTAAGTCTAATGTTGATAATTAGTTTTAAAAAAGTCTACTGGTGCCAACTTTAAATGTTGGCAAGTAATGAGGAAAGCAAAATGTTAACGTCGTATAAGCCAAACCAATCTTTGGGCTGCTGGTCTGTACCTTTATGGATCCTTCACCTGGTAGTGACTGTTATACATGTGTGAGAAGGATTCCATCAAGGAAAACTAAGGCTCCAGTGAGCAAGAGGAAAGGTGACAGAGGAAGGTGGAGGTTATATAAATAAGTATGACTGAGAAACTTCAGCAAGGAGTCACAAAACTTAGTAAGAGGAAATCTTAAAGGTTTCAAACTACTGGAAATAATCTTTCACCAATTCTACTTTGTTCAAGAAATTGATGACACTGCTCCTTTGTATATAGCTGATGAAATCAAGATTTGGTCAGCATTCCTTTCTTCTATTTAAAAACTACACAAAAATTTTACCACTTTCTTAAAGGTAATTGCAAATAACACTTTTTTTGATGCACAGTCCAACTGAAGAACACTGTAGAACCTGTTTACTGGTTTTTTTAAATCACTGAAATCAGAGCAAATACGCTCATCTTTTAGTAATATTATTAGAACTCAACATCAGATTCTTAACTTTTATGTTAAAAGCATCAATAAAAATTTAAAACAAAAATGTGCATTCTTTATTCTGATGCTTATACAAATATTTTCTGGGGGTGGCAGGTAAGCAGCACTTTTCAGCTGCAATTGGCTTGAAAAGATGAAGCACATGTGCCTTTTCCAGTTGGTTTATTGCACTTCCTGTACAGTCATACGCCATACGCCGTTCTCCGTTCGCATGGGATTTGGGACACCTATTCCGACTTCTATACACACACTCGCACACACACACACAGTAAAATTCTAAATGTTTTGTACATACAACATAAACCATAAAAGATATATTTGGTAATCAAAACTTCTCAATAGTACTTTTAAAAAGATATAAATTAACTTTTACCCTGGTAGCTGAGATCCTCCCACAATGTGGTGTCTTTTGCTAAGAGACAGCAAAATTTTCAGTATTGTGGAATCCATATCGTGTGGTATTTGCTGCACCTATCACCTACTTCTATAAATTAATTCCTCCTCCTTCTCTCCCACCCCCTGGCAATTAGTGCAGCAGAAATATAGAAAGAGTATCGTGGCTTAGGTTAACCAGTTTGATTCAGCATTGAGGACCAGGTGTGCATGTAATTGTTAAGTCTCTTCATAACATTTCAATTTAGATCATTTTGTATTAAAGAAATCACAGATAAAATTACATGTGTGTACCATATGGATATTTCTAGAATAGTATTGTCTACAAAATTAGTTATTTTTTCCATTTTAAGTAAAGGCATTAAAGAATTTGTGACCATGTTAAAAAATTACTCTAAATATTTAGAAAATCTGTGGTCCAAAAGGTTTGAGTAATTTTTGCTAAATAACGAATTATAATTTGGCAGTATGTTTAATTCTACCAAAAATCACTTGTGGTAGTTCTAATCAAAGAATAAAGACAAACATCCCATCCCAGCCAAACAAGCAAACAGACTTCCAGCCCACCCCAAACTACAGAAACCTTAGACTGTCAGATATAAAAGCGTTTGACTTAGTTGCTAAAAAGACATTCTTGATTTGGTAGTACTGAGCATCTTGGTTTTATGGTCAGGGAGCTGTAATGATCTCTTATGTGGACTCTATCACATGCTACTGCACTAGAGTGCATGTGAATACCTACTTTCATGTTAAGTTTTTCCTGACATTTTGCTTGAAGGGAAAAAATAAAAGCTTAACCATGTATTATTTTCATCAACTCCTTGACTGAAAGCCCAACGTTTCAATTATTTTGTCAAATAATGGTATAAAACAGTCAAGTGACTATAGAATTATTTTACTATCCAAGGAATCTGGTAGTTCCATGTTTAATACTATTGCAATGTGTATAAAAACGGGATTTGTAATCTTATTTTCACCTTTTAAAGCTGCCTTTTACAACTTTTCCAACATAAAAGGTTACAATGTGACATAATTATAAAGTACCCTTAACTGAAAATGAGATGAGACTGCATTCATAGGCTTCAGAGAATAAACTGCATAGAACTTCTAAAATTTAAGTGACATGGTACCATGACAACATGCGTATTAGCAGCTTCACAAAAATCTTCAAATTTTCATAGATTAGTAATGAACTGTCATGGCAGTCAGAACATGTACAAATAGTAGCATATTAAATATCTACTGGCCGGGTGAGGTGGCTCATGCCTGTAACCCTAGCACTCTGGGAAGCCAAGGTGGGAGGATCACTTGAGCTCAGGAGTTCAAGACCAGCCTGAGCAAGAGCAATAGCAAGAGCCCGTCTCTACTAAAAATAGAAAAACTAGCCAGGTGCAATGGCACATGCCTGTAGTTCCAGCTACTTGGGAGGCTGAGGCAGAAGGACCGCCTGAACCCAGGAGTTTGAGGCTGCAGTGAGCTATGATGGCGCCACTGCACTCTAGCCGGGGTGACAGAGCAAAACTCGTCTCAAAAAAAAAAAAAAAAAAAAACTATCTACCTACCAATACACTACCAGTAGTATCAGTGTATTATGGGTATTACTGCCCCTCCCATCAGAGAAATGACTATACTTGTTTACATGACCCCAATGGCCACCTCAATTGTGATTAAGTCAGCTGTTCTAACTATTCTATATGTATGTATATATATGCATACATGAAATATGAGGATACTCTGATGTTGACTGGCTAAGACCATGTTGGTATACTTTTGTCTTCTATTACACGTAACTCATTTCAGCCCCCAATTTTTGAGCTCTAAATAAATAAAATGTAATCTACAAAGATAAAACATTATTTACAAATGCAAATATTCATCCTGAGAACTTTTTTTTAAATCTAGGAGAACTATTCACAGAAAAGGCAATTACCAATCTGTGAAACAGAAATACACCTCAAGAATTAACTAAAGAATTCATAATTAAATATCAATTTACTCAGGCTGCAGCCAAGAAAAGCATGAGGATATTTAAGAACTCTTAAAATGATTTGCATGCAAGAAATTAATCATTTACAACTTCAACTTCCAGTGTTCTTCCCTCTGAAACGTGTTTAATGTATTAGTCTGATTGTATTTCGGAAGTGGGTGAGAGTGGAAAAATACCTGAGGAAAACTCACTAAGGTGCTGAGGGTTTGAGAAGGAGCAAGGTGGGACTGTGTAATTGTTATTAATCACTCACTCTAGACTGTCCCCAGAAGCAGAGTCAATCAGCTTTTGGGGTCTACCTATATCAAGCTCCCTCAAAAGGAACAGCTGGCTACACAAATTCAATGCTTTCCAAAGGAAAAATGTCAAGGTAAAACAAAAATCTAAATAAAGGTAAAATACCAGATTCTTCGCTTTATAATGTGACCATAACATTACCTATTTGCAGAAATTAAAAGAAATGGTTCAACAAAGAATCAAACTGGTTTCTCCAGGTATATATCATTACAATGAATCTCTTTACTCTTTATGCTGTGAGCAGACAGTGATTATTTTGGAGAAGGAAAAATAAGAGTGTGGAATTAGTAACGCAGATGCTGAAAGGCAAGTGGCAAGACCAGAAGGATGCCTCAAACAAATGCTACTTTGTTCCCATCTCTACTGGCACCTACCCCCCCAAGTAAAAGACCAGAATAACCAAAGCCATTTTAACAGTAGTGTGCGGAATTGTCAGCTGACAAACAACATGAAAACAAGTCACGCTATGTTATCTGTGGTCACGTTCTTCAGGGTTAGTCCAGTAACTCAAGACTTTACATTCTTTTGTCTTTATTTGTTTATTTTAATTAAACATGTAAAGGTTAATAAACAGACATAGTCCAGAGTTAGTAGGTTGGTATTATAACATTTATTAAAATAATGCTATGGGTTAATAGAAACAGCAAAGAACCAAAGAATTAAAATGCAAGCTATGTAAAATCCCAACTAAAACCCAGAAGTGTCTAACGTATTCATTCATTAGCTAACTAAAAGCCCAAAAAAGACAAGACACCCAATATAATAAAGTACTGCAAAACAATTGGCAATATTCAGTTATCAAAATTGTGGATTTTGCATTTTGTATCCTTTTCTCAATCAAGAAAAAAATTCTTTTTGAATGTTATATAACATACATATAAAACAAGATAGAAAAATACATTATAAACTTGTAACAATGGCTGTAAATACATTATCTTACATGTTTCTCATAGGCAATAGGTTGGTTATGGTACATACATAGCATGAAACTACTAAGATAATAAAGAATAGACAAAAATACATGTCAGCTGTACGGTAACATACAAGCGACACTCCCATCTACCCACACTAAAAAATTACATAATACTGTCAGAAAAAAAATCTTAAAAACTACGTATTTTAATAAGAAATAAATTCAATATAAAGAATGATAATACTGAGAACCAAGGCATTCAGAGATTTCAAAAGTCATGCTTTTTATCAGTTGATCCAAAATTTTGTCAACTAAGTTTTCAAAAATTTGTTCAGAGCCAACATTACTCGTAAATGTCATACATTTATTATTTCATACGTTTACTTTCTTCACCATAAAAGACCTTTGATAAACATCTAAAATGTCCAGGTATAACATAGTTGAGATGAAACTGGATCAAATACTGGTATCGTTTTTAACAACTATCACCTCAAATGTTTGAGTGTCTCAAATTTATCCAACCAACCAAACAATATAAAAATCAAAATGGCACAGCATATATTGTAAATAAATCAAAACAACTGTGTGTGTAACAGAAGACAAAGCAGTGGCACGTTAAACCAAAGCTAGCTGGATACAAAACAATGAATGTCTATTGCATAGTAAATAAACTGAAATTTCCAAGTGAGACAAGATGGTGGAGAGGTTACCGAGAAGGTGCTGACTGAGCTCCCTGCTGGCCTCTGACTGTGACACTGGGAAGGTGTGGAGGAGGGGATGAGTTGATAAGAGGGGAATCCACTGTCACTTGAGATTTGCCACATCTGGTACTGAGCAGTAAATGATGATACTCAAGTGTTTAGATGTAGGCATTGTGCACAAATTGCTTGCTTCAACTACAAAACTAACCGTTTGAACTCCATGAGAAATTAGAAGCTTAAGCCGAAATGTAGTTGAGTATTTATATGCACAATGATGCTAGTTTGTCACATTCTTTTAAAGTTGAAAGATGTGGTTTGTATCGCGGGGAGGGAGGAGAGGTTCTGAAACCAGCAAAGAGATGGACTACACAAGTTATCTGGTATGATATATAGAAGTCTGATTAAATTTGGTTCATTTAAAAACACTGTTTCCAGAATGAAAATCACAAAGATTCACTTTTGTGAAAAAGTTTGCTACGTACTCTATTATCTCCAATTAATTAAAAAAGAAAACTCTAATGCATCCCCCTTCTCCAAATAAAATAAAACTCTAATTTTGTCTGTAAACTGATGTTCAGATCACACATAATTTTAATCTCAGAATCCTCTGGGCTAACACTGAAGACTCCAATAACCAAAAGTACTCAATTAGGATTTTTAAAAGAATGATGTTTTAGAACTTACTATTCAAGACATTAGAAAAGTTATCAAATTTTTTCACAGTATCAGATTTGGCAAATTTGCATCAAGGTAACTGTGGCAAAAATCATATAATTCAGACCATCAACTCATTTGTCTCCCTCATACCTTCTTTCACATACTGGGCGACTGAGTAACATGCATTAACTTGTATTCTGAGGGAGGAGCTGATCTTACGAGACACTTGACTAAATGACCATGAAGGAAAATAAGGCACTTTCTTTTCTTTAGACTTATTCCAATACTTAAAAAATAAAAAAGAAAGACAAAAAGGCTCTTTTGGTCTTTTGTTTCTTGACAACCACCAGAAAAAAATCATTTCATGAAATAAAGGGTTTCTTTGTTCTTTTTCTTTTTTTTTTTATAACACTTGAAAGTATAAAATGCTACATTTCCAAAAATATATATATTTTTTTCTGCACCAGCACCCTTGTATAGTAAAAGTATCTACTTTTTGTTCATTTGTTTCAATGCACTACACTTTATCTACAATTTCATTACATGTATACAGCAAATAGGCAAGCATGGCTTTTACATCCTTAATGATTTTTTCTATACAGGGAGGTTTAAAAAAAATACTTGAACAGTTTGCCCAGTAATGTGACACATAATGCATGTACCTTGTTCTCATATATTTTTTTTTAAGAAGGTGTAAAATAAAGGTTCAGTAATTTTAACTCAGATAGTTAGCTTTTTAAAAATAGTGTTGCAGTTTTGTTCTTTGCATTACTTTTCAAAACTCCTTAAGTTTTTCTCTCATGGCACACTTTTTTCTAATACTTCAAATTTTGGCAGGCAATATAAAAAAGGCTGCAACTTCTGCCCTTTGAGGGCACTGTAGTGACGAAACAGCATATCAAATTTTGAATACTTTTTGAAATCACTTCACCAATGACATCCCTGACCGAAGGTTCATGCATGATGCATCATCACACAGTACATTCAGAGAGAGCTTTGACTTCGCTATGAGAAGAAAAAGATTCCTAGAAGTCTCTCACAGTAACTGCCTCTGTCATTGAGTAGTTAAGGGCCATCTGTCTCCCCTTCTTAAGAGAGGCCTTCTTACCGTTCGCTTAGGGTGGGACATTAAAAGATGATCAGTGCTGTGGGATGAATTGGGCCTTATTGCTTTACTACTATTCAGTGCAGGTTCTAGAACCACTTTCACCCAAACAGGGAAAAAAAAAAAAAAAGCTGAGTTGGAGGACAACAATTTCTTTGTCTTTTGTTTGGTTAGATGGTAAGACGAACGGACAAGTGCCTCAGCTCGCTGCACTGACGACAGGCAAGCAAAGGCGATTACCAGTTAACTGATCAGCAGGCAGGCATGGTCAGGTCATCATTGGGTGAAGAGTTCAGAGGTCAGAAGGTCATAGGTTAGTTGCCGGTGGCGGCTGGGTGGTTAGAAACAAAAAACAAAACAAAAAAAGAAAAGAAAAGATAGAGAAGAGATTAGTTTCAGCTAGTGACGGCTTAATGACAACATGAAAAACTAATCACAACTAATAAAAAAAAAGCATGTTTAATTCTGACAAACTGATTGACACCATCTACAGAATACAATAAAAATCATGACAATTTCATATCATGATTTGAACGAATGAAGAAGAGCCCACTCCCACAAAAACAAAAAACAAAACAAAAAACTGGTTAACAGGGAAAAATAGAAATAAAATACAACTAACAACTAATAGTTAGTAGCAGTCAATGAAGAAAGTTGAAAAACAACAATGAATAGGTTTGGTATACAGAATTTTGAAACAGTCAGTACAGTTATCAGTCTCTGACTGCTATTAAGCATTAGTATTCTCTTGGATGCAAGCATTAAAGCAACTATTAATGATGGATGTGATTATTAATAACTGATGATTAACAGAAATGAATCTAAAGAAATTTAAATTTCTATGAACAATTTGGTTCAACATAAACTCTGGGCCAAACAAGGTTTCTTTTGTTCAATAAATGTTTATTGCTTTTTCAATTATTCTATGTACAAACAACATGGAATTTCTTGGCCTCATGATACAAAGCAATACTAAACTGTAGTCTATCAGTGTAGGCAACATCATGGGAACCAGAAAAAGGCCAGGCCTTTTGCACTAGCCACCATTTTCCAGTTGAAAATACTATTTTACACATATAGAACACTTATAAAATGCACTTGCATGTAAACACTGTAAAATCCTGCCATTTAAAATTCTATACTCGAAAAGCTCTAAGTACATCAAAAAATAGAAGAAATTTCTAATTGATACCAATAAGGCATTTTAAAACTACAAACAGCTTTCTTTATTCAATTTCAAAGCTAATACTCTGCAAATACAATAAAATCTGACATTTCATATACATTCCTGCTTTATATTTTTATATTTTAAAAGAAGCCACCTGTAAATACTATTTTCTTTTGCAAAATAACAAAAAGAACAAAAAATTTAAAAAATTACAGTAAAACATAAAGTAGTTCTCAAGTGGAAAAGTTATCATTCCCAATGTCCTTGAGTTGTTCCTTCCTTAATCAACCTGTTACATTCCTGCTTCACCAAACTTGGTCCACTTAACAGTAGTATGATTTTAAGACTCATTCAACAGCTTAATTATTTCTACTATATTCTGAGGTTTGGTAGAATTTTCTGTACTGTTGCCATGTGACTAAGGCAGAGGAGATGTGAGTGAAAAGATACTCAGTGCAAAGCTAGGTTCTGTGCCACTTCATCAATCACAACTTAGCAGGTGTAATGTTCACAGAGTTTAAATGATCTATATAACGGACTGATTTACCTTCATATGACAAAAATGCTTTCTAAAGTCTATCATTTAGAACAGTTTATAAAGACTACAAAAATACTGTATCTTCAATGTGACCAAATCTTCCCTGAATTTCTTTAAAACAGTGGAATTTTATTTAAAATAAAAACTGCTGCTCCAAAATCAAAGAAAATAAATATTAACATGATGCAGTCATACTATTTCACAGGTATTCCAAAGTATGAAATCTTAAAGCATTTTTTGATATTACTTAAAATTTTCATTATGAATGACAGTTCTGTAAAATCATTATTCAGAAAATTTTCTGATTATGTGTTTTTGAGTGTGGAATACATAAACAAAGCAAACTACCACTTATCTATACCAGTGCACCTAGAATCCATCCTCTGCCAAGTCCTGGCCTCTTACAGTACACACAGGTGTGTTCACTGTGCAAAACCATTTATAGTTCATTACAACTAAAAAGTCAGTGGTCTTTTATAGGCTTCAAATTCAGTTTTAAAATACGTATAGGGGTGGGTTTATTTTTAGTAAAGAAGTAGGTATTGGTAACCATGTAGTACTCTAACTGCTCATACAGAATTACATGGTTATATGTCCAAGGGCCGAGTTCCCTTGCATTAAATGAATGCTTATAATAATCTTCTCTTCAAAAGATTTTTAAAAAATAATTTAAAAAAACCTCAAAAATAGAGAAAACAGTAGTATCATAAAATAATTTAAGTGAAGGACTTCGGACATCTCCCTTAGACCCAATGAGTGCATGCAGTGATAATAAGTATACAAGTATTCTGTTATTAAAAAAAAAAAAATTAGCAATTCGGTTTGCTGACATTGCATTTTGAATAAAAACAGTGACAGGAGTAATCAAAACACATGTAACTACAAAAGAGCCATGCATGGAATGTGTTGTAATTTTCCAAATACAATAAAATATTCCTCTAATATTTTCAACTATCTCAAGGGACTGGAGTATTAAATAGGCCAATACTTACTGTGTTAAAACAAAATTAAGAGGAATCTCCTAAAAGGAGGCATATGAGGAAAGATTACCAGGGGGAAAAACTACCTACTTTGAAATGCTCTTCACAACTATTTTAGACATTAGCAATATAAATAAAGCTTCAAATTATTCACAGAGTTATCCAGTGTCTTAAAATGAAAGTGACTTTAAAAAAAAAGTCCCATCCCTAGGAGACATGCTCTGATGAAAGAGAGGTGGCACGTATGCTCGTATATAACATTTACAAGACATATTATCTCCATAGTCACCGAGCTGGGGGTCTAACTTTGTTCACTGAATAATCACTACAAGTAATGTATATATCAGCTTAAAAGTCTTCAAGGCTCTTTAATTACATATGATGCTAAATAAATCTCAATAATGTCTTTGGGAAGACATTTTATTTCTCATGTGGAGAACAGTTGTGTCTAATATTTATCATCAGTATTCAAGGAGACCATATAAAGTAGGTAGGTCTTTCATAAATCTATAGAAGATGTACGACTGGAACGTAAATCCGTTACTTTTTTCCCACTAATATCAATGACTTTGATCAATTTAATTGTAGGTAATATGCCATGACAGAAACTTGTAAAAAGTCCTTTTCTACCATGCTTGAAATTTCTACCCCTTGTGATGAAAAACTGAGAAAACAATTCAATGTCAATAAACCGAAAACTATCACTCCTCAATAAGCATAAATAATTTATAAAAGGGTCCAAGGGCATACATAGGACACAAATTACAAATGTTGTAAGGAGAAAAGTGAAGACTTATTTTCCAGTCACAGGTTAGTCAAAAAGGATATTCAAACAGCTGGATCGCATATCACCACAAAACTTCAAGAGATAGTTTACCTTCAGATAATATATTTTAGCAGCAAATGACAAAAATCAAAGGATCCATTTTGGCAAGAGAATGGAAGAATAAAAGGGAATTGACTTTCTAATGCATAAAAAAATTCAACTACATGAAAGTTACCTTCACAGTCCTTCCGTGTTGATTTCAACTAAGTGCTAAACATGTACACCCTCATGTTTACACAGTGGCTCAAATACTATAAAGAAAAATGGAAACTAAATCTTCAGTTTTCTCCAAAAGTATACAGGAGGCATATATTCCTTTACTTCTCTCATTAAAGCACCATCCGTTCAATTCATTTTGCAATACCAACCCCAAATTTCAGAACAATTAAAAGGTAAATTTTAGCAAAAGTTATTACTGAAAAGTAATTACGGCAACATCAAAATTTAATAGCTCCCCAAATTTACTAATTTATGTTTTAGTAGGAATAAATCATAGTGTATAATAATAGCAGATTTAATAAGTTAAAATATGAAGGGAGAAAAAAACAAAACAAAAAACCCAATCCTTAAATCTGTAAATTATTACGAATGAATTTAGAAAAGGAAAAAAAACTGTGTGCAGGTAAGCAGTTACATCTTTTCCATCAGGTGTGGTGTTGCAAATTTTACGGACACCCAACGCATTTCTTATAAATAAGAACTGCAGAACTAAACTAACCTCGGTCTGCGGTCACAATCCTTTGGTAAGGATGGACACGCATATCGTGCCTTCGAACTTTAGTAGCCACCGCACCTAGTTAAATTGTAATTACCAAGACAAAGTTAGAAAACATTCACAAGGGGGAAAAAAACATTAACAGCACGTTTATCAAAATGGATTTCAAATGTTCATTTACTACAAAAGTTTAAGAAACACGTTAAGGCACAGTAGTTTTAAAATTAACCATAGTATGTCACGTATATATGCATCTATTAATATTGCATTCATTTCAAACATCTTCGCCTTAACCTATTTTATCCATTCATTTACAATCCCCAAGTTACAGTATTTCATGAACTCTATTAGATCCAAACATATTTAAGCTTTACTAGTCACATATTCACTGAAGTGCCTTTCTTGCAGCAGGACTAATTAAATAATGCCGTGTTTAATACTGACAATTATTTGCTAACCTTAAGACCACTTCCAGAGTTTATCACTTAAAAAGGTTTAAAAGCAATTCTTAAAGCCTACAGATTGTGGTTTTAAACTTTGAGTCAATAAGTATGAACTGCAATGAATTAGGTGATTAGTAAAGCAAACAGTATAGTACACTTAGCAGTCAGTATACTACTATACACTCCTTTATAAATTACCATTACTTTGTAATATTACAGACTAAACCAAATTAATAACATAATTTTACTTTATATCTATGTGCAAAAAGTGCAAGTAAGTCACTGACTGCTAGGCTAAGCTTTTTTTCCCCCGGAGGCTGCTGAGACTAAGCATTTGTTAAATTCAGATCTGATGAGGGTTCGGTTAAGACCGTTCTTGAATTCTTAGCCTTTCGTTGGGAAAGCCATACCTAAAGATAAAAGGAAGGGAATTAAAAATTAGTCATCAATGAAGATTTGATGCTAATACCAATCTCCTCACTACTACCAACACACATGTCTGCATCTGTTTTGAAGGGCACTGCTTATGTTAAAATAATTTAATGTGAGACTTGATATATAGCATGCATGTTATCTGTGTGCAAATTTATTATAACTTTGCAATTTAAAATAATTTTCTCAGTTCTCCAAGTGGTCAATATCATATTTTACTGCTTAGGTGGTAAAGCAAGAAATAAAATGGATTTACGATTTTTCCATTTAGTACTCATTACTATTTGCCTTATGAATGCCAATTATGGATCTGTATGTTTTGCTCTTTATTTTGCCAATCTAGTAATTTTTTATAAATAAAAATTTCCCAACGAAACAAAAAACATGTTGCTTTACAATGAGAAATAAATTTTACTGCAGTGCCTCTTGCTGTTTCTAAGCAGTAAACTGGTCCATCACCCCTTATTCATTTTAGATAAGCTGCTCATATACAAGTATAATTCCATGTGGCAAAATCAGGGAGATCTTGCATTGAAAGTGCTGGAACAGCAGCTGGTGGCTAAGAGTCCCAGCCCTGCAGGAAGTCAAGAGTCAAACTCCTCGGGAACAGATGCTGTGAGTGCAGCAGAGAGGAGTTCTGGGGGAAGGAGCATGCACAGGACCACAGGACAGAGTATTAATAGAAAGGAAAACTTAAACAAGGTTACAGGTTACATGTTATTTTAAAAATGCTTCAAGAAATGTGCAACAGAAACAAGCCTCTCATTAACAGATCTGTGGTATAATTCTGACCTGTAATTACTTTATACAATGATTTAGAGATAAACGGAAAACATGTACAATAAAATGTATTTGTTGATAAAACAAAAGGCACCTGAGTGCATGCACACACACAGATAACATACAGAGCATTGTGGCTTTAACTGAACAATGAATTTTCGAGTTTAAATCTTAGTGTCCCAGTTCATTAAAGACTTTCAAATTTTTATAAATCAACATTAATGCTGGAAAAAAACCCTTAAAAGATCAAAGTCTTAAAAGTCAACAGCATGCATGCAGCACCAAGGTCATACACAATTCAGGGAAAAAAGGTATTCAAATTCTGTCTGGTAAAACAAAGGGGTTGCACAGAAAGTTTGTTCCACATTGACTGGTCGTGTTATAACAGCTGCTGTATTCTAGTCCTTCATCCAGCAAGTCAATGGGCTGAAATATCAGGCATGACTGGCATTTCAATCCACTCTATAAAAAAAAGGCATCAGTAATGTCTTTTGCAAGCACACCACTTTTTGTTCATGTAAAACCAAGCGTTTATAGTATGATTTTAATCTTTGCCTCGTGTGATTCTGAATTCAGTAACTTGGTATTTACTCATCTATTCCATACTGTACTACTGAAATTAAGAGTATTTCTCATGTTTAATACTGATCAGGACTTCAAAAGACAAAAACTGAAACCTTAAGAAGGCAACTACAGTCATGCACAGAATAACGACGTTTAGGGCAACGATGGGCCGCACATACAGTGGTGGTCCCACAAGATTATAATGGCTATACCATACAGCCTAGCTGTGTAGCAGGCTATATTATCTATGACTGTGTAAGTACACTCTATGATGTCTGCACTATGATGAAACTGCTTAACGATGCAATTCTCAAACTTATCCCCGTCGTTAAGCAACGCATGACTGTATTTAGCGGGTCCCTTTCATATTTTAAGTGATCACAAATATTAAAAAATACATACAATATTAATTTTATAAAGATCTCAAAATATGTTCACATAGAAATTTAAAATTTAGACAACAATTAAATAAGTCAAAAGAAATGTAACTTTGGGAGGTGGAGCTGATGGAGGTGATAAGCCATGGGGTGAGACCTAAAACTCAGAATGACCTCAAATAATGTCAAATGTGTACAGTATTTTGTTTAAAATGTATATAATAAATTTACCCAACCAAAGTGGATCTGAGTTATCGAAGTGGATCTGAACAAATTTCAGGTGCAATTATTTAAACATAATTTAACATGTTATATTATATAATGGAATCTTATGAGAGGCTGAAATAAGTTTTCAGTCTTTCTTAATGGAAACTTGTCTTGCCTCTCAGAAAACTGATAAAATCATTTCCAAGTTGGGGGCAGCAAAATTTATAAAGAAGAATGATGTTAACCACACAGGGAGAAGAACTTACCTAATACACCACTAGGTTCAATAGGATACTCAAGGATTGATGTAGCTGGTGCCAATGTGTAGGGGTATTCATAAGGTGTGTAGATTAAACCAGCTTCGGGGCCTGGAGGAACTATTGCAGCAGTTGGGTGAGGAGTTCCGTTTGGCATGACAGCGGTCTGTATTTGTCTGATCAAAGGCATTATGGTAGGGCCAGCTGGCGTAGGAGTACGCAGGGCAGCTGGTGGGAGAACAGGCGCAGGCCCAGTAATGATCCTTGGAGCAGCCTGGGCTGTTGCTGCAAGAGAAAAGGCAAGGGCTGCTACAGTAAGCAAAGAAATTTAGAAAGAAGTATAGAGATAGCAGTGTAAAATATGGGAAAATGAGAAGGGAGTAGGAAAAAGAATGGAAAAAGCAGGAAAGAAGAAAAATAAAAGGAAATCATTAGTACATGCGCTGATCACACAAAAATGCCAAAGCACACCAATCAAATGCAAACAGCTTTCCCTTTCCCAATGTGATTAAGAATGTGCAAAAATTAAAAAGCCACTGTAAAAAAAAATGAATGAGACCATTAAATAGGTTATATTTAGTTCATATGTTTGGTATATCTATGTCTTTTAAGATTTCGCAAGACTAAACGTGCATGCAAAAGCACAAGAAAATACTTGCATTAAAAGATGTTAAAAATAATTTGTAATTGGAGTCCACAGAAACACAGTTTTGGTATATTTATCAAGTGCAGCTTTAGTTTCAAATTAAAGGAAGAGTAATTTTCATTGTATTAAGTTATTCAAATAACCACAAGGGGGGTGTGTGTTATATGTGTGTATGTGTGTGTGTGTGTGTGTGTGTGTGTGTGTGTTTGTGTGTATATATATACACTAATATATAAATTATCTGCATCTTTAGGAATTAACTTCATAGAATAACACAAAAAGTCCTATTTCTAAATTCCCAATTATTAACTATATATTCCTCACATTCTCATGAGTAAATTAAAGTCAACCATTTGTAAAGTAACTACTTCTAAACCTACTGGATTGTCTACATTGTGGAAAGTTGGCTAGGACTTTAGAATTCTATTTCTTTCAAAAAATTAATTTAAATATGATATTATGTTCATGTAAGTGACGTGTAAACCTTACATTGTCTCAAAATATAGATTTCACATTATTTCTTTTTAAATATAAAAAAGGAATCCCTCTTATGGCTTATAAAAACATGCACAGACACATATAAAGGAAAAACAGGACTGAAAATAGTTATCACCCACTGATCTCTGTGAACTCACATATGAAATCAATAGGAAAAAAATATCCAAGGGAAAACATGCAAACAAAGTAAAAGGACAGAATTCAACACAAGGTTCATTTCATTCAGATACACTTCACTTTGAAAGTAAGCTGGAAGCCTTAAATCTGTAATTAACTTAATAGGAAATTTCTTAAAACTTGAATTTAGAGATTGAGATTGCATCAAAAGAATAAACCCAAAACTTAGACATGCTGGCATAAAATAAAATCGACAGTGTCCTCAACTCATGAAACCGTGAAATATACGTCTGCCCCATATCAAGTGACAAAATTACTTCAACTCTTTACTTTGTTTAAACTGTTCACATGTTATGCTGCCAAAAGGAGAAAGATTTGTAGACAAAACAGCTGAGACAGTGGTAACCCTGGGCCTCAGTCTTATTCTTACGTGATTTAATGTTGGCATCTCTGTAGGTGCCATTCAGAATCGCAAGCTCCATCAGCTGCATCTTCTTCAGGCTGTCTTCTCCTTCTGCCTACACGTGGAAAACACAAGAGAAGTTAAGCATTTGAGATCATCCACATATATCATAGGTATATCTACACACAAGCCTTAAAATAGATATGTGATTATAACCATTTGCTTCAATAAGGAAAAAAAAATCAGGAACCAAAAGGTGCTGACATATGGAAGCCCATTCTCTCAGTGATGGCATGTTGATGCACAGGATATTCTCAACAGCCACTGGCTGCATTTCTATTTCAAAACTTTTATGTAAACTACACTGATTTATTAAAGTTCTCTTGAAAAGCTCTGTCTTTAAATGGAAATGAACAGAAATGTTACGATTAAATATAGTATATTCTCTCCAGCATCTATCATTTTGCTGAATATTCCAAACCAAGATGTGTTTATTAAAAGAAAAAAAAACACACTGTGATTTTAAACATGTAAGATCTGATTGTGGCATTAAGGTAAGGGAATTTTATGCTTAATTCTCCACAAATGAAAATTTAGTGAAGTTATAAAAATCATTAAGAACTTCTAATGACTGTACATTCTATCTACTCTTTTATGACACCATCCCTTTCCTTCATCTAATTAGCAAGTGCTAACAAATCTATGGCAATCTCTTAATATCTTTAAGGTCACCATATAATCTATTGTCCAAACCAGGAAATGTTTAAAAGCAAATAAGGGGCACTATGCTATCAAGACAGGCATAAACCAGGACTGTCTCTGATCATCCAAATGTCTGGCCACCCCATTTACCTTAGCTTCTTTGTACCACTCTTTCCATTTACTGTTGACACCCCTGTTCTAGTCATTACTGATGTAGTACCAAAACTACTAGACCATGCTGTTAATGATGGCTTGTCCTCCAACCAATCTATATACAAAGGCCAGATTAATAGCCCAAAACACAATTCTCATCATAATATTTCTCAACATTCTCATGTCTCAAACCCATTATTGGTTTCTTACTAATATCAAAAAATTTCAAAGATTTAAGCTATCTATGATCTGGCCCCAAACTATCTTCTTGAGTTAAACCAATGAATCTTCTACTATTTAATAAACCTATCTCATGTTTATTAAACATTTTGTAAAATCAAACTAGATCATTCCCCTCTACTAGTCTCTGTGCATATTCCCATTTCCTCCACTGTAAATGCTCCTTTGTATGTCATTCTACCCCTCCCTCTTTCCAAATCCAACCTATCCCCACAAATTTCAACCTAGATGTTACCTTCGAAGGGGCCATCCCTAGACTACAGTTAAGTCTTCACTGAATGTTGTCAACAGGTTCTTGGAAACTGGCACTTTAAGTGACACGATGACTTACAGCAGGTCCTCAAATAAGTCATTCCCTTCAACGTCATTATACTCGGTAGACCTAAGTCGCAGTTTCCAAGATCCTATTGATGACATTAAGTGAGGACCTACTGTATACTCTTTCTGCCTTGAATTATAGTTTGTTGAGTATCACCACTCCCAAAGTAAAACCAATGAGAATAGAGTTTACTTATTTATCACTGCCTACTCTCTGTGTACCCACCTACCCAAGTTGTTTGCTAGAACTTATTTTTTAAATGACTGGTATGAAAAATATTTATTTCCAAACCTGAAATGTCTAAGTCCTACAGGATAAACTTTAGCCACAGGAAAAGAAAGCAGTAGATATAAAGTTCCATCTTTTAAAGTTTGTGTAAAGATGTCCCCAACCTTTATTCATTAGCTAATCCTCAGTACTTAATATTTACAAAGAAAGTAACCCAACAATACAATTTTCTGATATAATTTTCTTCCTCCCTGACTCAAAACCGGGGCAGGACCAGGACAAGTGACAAGCTTCTCAGTTCTCTTCTCTATTGCAGCTGTAATGATACACAAAACTCTTTATCTTTGGCATTACAGCAGAGAATGGTGTACTATAATTTATAGTAAATAGGACTGCTGAGTGAGCATTTAATAAATCACAAAGATTTAAAGATGAGTGAAAACAATGTTTAATGTGCCAATGCCAACTTTTTAAAAACCTACTTTGCAGTAGAATACAGGGAGAAGATATTTGCTTATGCTTGTGGAATTACGATTACTTGACTCCCATCAACTTGTACAAAGACAAAGAAAAAAATGAATATGATTTCTTTGAAAGACACAAAAATTACTTGTTAAAAACAAAAACATTAATATTGGAAAGGAAGAATTAGAAATTCATTATAATAAAACTTAAGCTTGTTTGCTAAAAACTAATAGTACTAAAAATTAAAACTTATAAAGATTTCAAATTTAATCCTACATATAATGATGGAATACCAGAAGTCTATTAATAAGTTATATTCTATATAAATAAAAAGAAAGAAAAGCAGTAGGTATACCTCTGGTTATCCTCTACAGTGAGAAAAAACTGGCGCAAGTCTGAAAATGTCAGCAAATGAGAGGACAAATTAAGGAAGAAATAGGACAAATTCACCTTTATTTAAGGAAGAAATAAAGATGAAAGAAGAGTTTTGCGTAGAGAATAGGTGCTTGGAAACATGTTTGAACTGAACTGCTTCTCTTGCATAACAAAACCACTATTCATTAGCTGGTGATGGAGTATCAAACTTGGGAGAAAGCCAAAGAGAAAAATGATGGGAGAACTGCATGTGCATGCCAGTTTGTGTGCAAACGTGTGTCATTTGCAGGGTGCAGGATTACTGAAAACAGAACAGAGATCACCCCAAGAGGAGAATAAAAGAGCAGCACAGCCTTCACCAGGTGTTGGTGTAGTCTTCCATAGGATGAAATCATATTCATTTTTTTCTTTGTCTTTGTACAAGTTGATGGGAGTCAAGTAATAGTAATTCCACAAACACGCAAATATCTTCTCCCTGTATTCTACTGCAAAGCAGGTTTTTAAAAAGTTGGCAAGGGCACATTAAACATTATATTATGTTGCTGGAGATGATGGCGTGTGCCACTGGATTACACCACATCATGGCAGCCTGTATTAACACCTCCCAAAAGAGCAGAGGATTTAGATGGCAGAGCTGGAATTTGAACCCAGATGGTTGTCTCACTCCAGGATGGGCTTCACTATTACGTTCTGACTATTCCTACCACTCTATTCACAGAGCATGATGCTGTATGTCTCAATAGAAGACAAAGTATATTATAGAATTACTTTCTAATGGAAGTAGTTATTTCAACCTTATTGTTCTGGTTTTGACAATGAAATCTGGCAGTATGTACCGGCCAAATCACTGTTGAAAATATATGCCACCTCTTTTTTAAATATAAGTTCAGACTGAAAAACCTGCACTAAGTTTGTTTTATTGCCCAGAGGCTCTAGAGCTTCTACTAGCCAGACTTCAACCAGTTTACCTGACCTCTCCTTTCCCTCAAAGATAACATCTGATCAAATATGGCATCCTGAAGTTACACATCTCAACTCTAGACATTTCACAAGGTATCTTGTAGAACTTTGATGAGGGACAAACATCTCTATAGTGACAGAACACCGACTTTTTTATTTGTAAAACAGGAAACTGTTCTTAGGCAACAAACATGTCATAAAATTGTATTTCATAATGCTGAATTCAAATAACTGTCTGGAGTCTCATAATTTTTCATTTTCTAAGTGTCTTTCCTATATTTTAAAATCACTTAAAAACAACTGACGTATTTTACATGTAGTGAAATCCCAAGATCTTAAGTGCAACATTCAATCAATTTTGATGAAAAGTACATCAAGACACAGATCATTTCCACCAACCCAGAAAGTCTTTGTGCCTCAAGCCCTAACCACCAATCTGACTTCTATCATACCACAATTTAATCTGCCTATTCTAGAATTTCATAAAATGAAATCATAATTTTTTGTGTCCAGTTTCTTTCCCTCGATGTAACATTTATGAAACTCCTCCATTCTGTTGCATGTATCAGCAGTTCATTTGTTTTAATGGCTTAGTAGCATATGATTTGTTGTTTATCAATTGAATTTACCGATTCTTCTGTGGTAGACATTTGGTTGTTTCCAGTTTTGGAATATGTGAACAAAACCATTAAGAAAATTCTCTTACAAGGCATTTTTTGTGCATGTTAAGTTTTCATTTATCTTAAATACCTATGAATAGAGTTGCTGGGTCATAAGGTAAATGATTATTTCCCTGGTATTTTGCATGAAAATATTCTTATGTAAAGATTATTAAAATATTATGAATAATACCATTACTTCTGAGACACAGAAGTTCTAAAATATAACAGATACCTGCTAACAGCTAAAACCTATAGCATCAGAAGTGTCTTAAGAATTTCAGATTTATAGAAAGAAAATTTGCCGTAGATCATAACAGCCCCAGCAGTGTCTGGGGGAACACTCCTATAATACAAACTGTAACAAACAGAAAAATACACTAAGTGGGTAAAGACAGACTATAAACATACTTTTCAGAACTTTTGAGGGCTTGCAATTATGGATGACAGATTATAGATATGTATAAATACACATTTTTAAATTTATGCCTATTATTACAGTAAGATGAAGGTAAATGTTAGACACACAGTAAGTCAAAAAAGCTTCACATATCTTTTTGTATTCCCCGTTACACTATCTGATGTACTCCCACTTAATCATAATACCTGGCTTAGCGGCAACAACTTTCCACAGATAAAGCAAGACGAGGTAGAGAGAGAAAGTATGAGGCACTTTATTTAACCAGTAAAGCTTAGAACATTTAAACACACACATACATAATGCTACCTCCATTCAAACTACAAAAAATAAAGATTTTTTACCTTAGGACAGTATGTTCTGCCTTTTTTTAACAAGGTATAAACAGATCCACTTAAAAGTAGTAATGATTGCAGGAAAGAAAAGCCATGTCTCAATAAGCATTTATTTCTTCCACTGCTAAATTCAACATGATACAATTTAGGTTAATAGGAATGGCAAACTTTTGAAAGATTTACATGACTCATAATTCAGGCCACATACTAGCATTAGTATGCTAGTATGGCATCATCATATGGCCACATCATTATTTTGCA